ATACAAATTAGGTAATTAGTATGCACAAAATTCATTATGTATTTCATGGTGGCCAGTCAGACACCATGCACATATACACAACACTAAAATATAACAGTCACTATATACTGACCTTCTTTGAGAATCTCCACAATATCACCGACTTGTAAGTGTAATTCTTCAGTATCTTGTGCATCATAGTCCCATAATGCTTTTCCCTTTGGTAATTGTGGTTTAGGTTTCCTGGGAGGTTTGGGTTTCATTTGTGGTTTTCCTCGTGGATCCCTTTCAATAGTTTTCCTTTTATGTCTACAAAAAAATGTCAATTTCATAAAGCTGACACAGAGTTTTAAAACAATTGATCTTGAAATCCTGTCTTGTCTTTCAAATACTGATTCAAATTCTGTCAATTTAATCAAATATGCATTGGAATATTAAAATTCTGTTATCAATTTAATCAAATATGCATTGGAACATTCAAATTCTGTCAATTTAATCAAATATGCATTGGAACATTCAAATTCTGTCAATTTAATCAAATATGCATTGGAACATTCAAATTCTGTCAATTTAATCAAATATGCATTGGAACATTCAAATTCTGTTATCAATTTAATCAAATATGCATTGGAACATTCAAATTATGTTACCAATTTAATCAAATATGCATTGGAACATTCAAATTATGTTACCAATTTAATCAAATATGCATTGGGACATTCAAATTCTGTTGTCAATTTAATCAAATATGCATTGGAACATTCAAATTATGTTGTCAATTTAATCAAATATGCATTGGGACATTCAAATTCTGTTGTCAATTTAATCAAATATACATTGGGACACAAAACAGTTTTATGATTTTCTGACCAACACAGAAATGATGGAATGTTCAAGAGCAAGAGAAAATTACTTGGAAGTGTGTAAATGCGACAGAAAAATGTTTAATAAAAACCAGACATATATCAATTGTTATAAATGACATAAGCATCCACAAGTCTTACCCAGAAACACCGGCATCCGGAGTATTCATAAATTCACGACTCTGATTTTTCATTTGCTTAGCCAGACTTTGTGCACCTCCCCTAGGAAGAGATGGATGCTCAGTACTCTTTCCTCTAGTAAGGTTTTTACCACCACTACCTCTTGTTCTAATACTCCATGCTGTAGGTGCCTTTGGTGCTGCTCTATGTGCTGGTCTTCCTGCCCCAGGTCGGTGCCCAACAACTGCACCATTACCAGCATTCCTACTAACCTTTTCCCTGATGCCAGGCCCTGCAAACACATTAAAATAATAATACAGTTCTAACTCTGGTCAATATCAAAGACAACAAATTAGAGTGCAGTCCTTAACAAGTTTAAACTTATAATGGATCATAAAAACATGATAAATTTTGACCATAAATATATCAAATATGCCAATTTATGTAAGCTGTATACTATACTACTGATATAGCAAATACTGTAGTCTGAGACTAACTAGATGTGTGACCAATTGACAAGTACATGTGAGTGGTAGTCTGAACTTGAAAGTGACATAGCATCACAGCTTCTAAGATAAGAAAAATACACAGCATACATTACCTGTCATAACTGAACATCACTGAGCAACTTAGAAAGTGGGTAAAGTCTACTTTAAACATATGTTTCCTGCTTACTTACTTGAATTTTTGGGAAGTCCGGGTTTAATAGTAACATGCAATGTTTTACCACTGGTTTTGAGTACCGTGGCATCATTGGGCAATCCGGGTCCAGTGGTAAATTTGATTTGTCTTGTGCCACCACCACCCCAGCCTTCTTTTTTGACAGCAAACTCAATCCTATCAAAGCAAAAGATGAGAGATACTGAAAACAAATGAACACTGTGGTTTTCAAGTCAAAACACGGAAAAAAGTTGTTAACTATATTGTACACATCCAATTGTGAGTCAAATCCATGTGATTGTGACAACCTGCCTACAGTGACCATAATGACAACCTTCCTACAGTGACCATAAAGACAACCTGCCTACAGTGACCATATAGACAACCTGCCAATAGTGGCCATAAAGACAACCTTCCTACAGTGGCCATAAAGATAACCTGCCTACAGTGGCCATAAAGATAACCTGTCTACAGTGACCATAAAGACAACCTGCCTACAGTGACCATAAAGATAACCTGCCTACAGTGACCATATAGACAACCTGCCAATAGTGGCCATAAAGACAACCTTCCTACAGTGGCCATAAAGATAACCTGCCTACAGTGGCCATAAAGATAACCTGTCTACAGTGACCATAAAGACAACCTGCCTACAGTGACCATAAAGATAACCTGCCTACAGTGACCATATAGACAACCTGCCAATAGTGGCCATAAAGACAACCTTCCTACAGTGGCCATAAAGATAACCTGTCTACAGTGACCATAAAGACAACCTGCCTACAGTGACCATAAAGACAACCTGCCTACAGTGACCATATAGACAACCTGCCAATAGTGGCCATAAAGACAACCTTCCTACAGTGGCCATAAAGACAACCTTCCTACAGTGGCCATAAAGATAACCTGTCTACAGTGACCATAAAGACAACCTGCCTACAGTGACCATATAGACAACCTGCCAATAGTGGCCATAAAGACAACCTTCCTACAGTGGCCATAAAGACAACCTTCCTACAGTGACCATAAAGATAACCTGCCTACAGTGACCATATAGACAACCTGCCAATAGTGGCCATAAAGACAACCTTCCTACAGTGGCCATAAAGACAACCTTCCTACAGTGGCCATAAAGATAACCTGTCTACAGTGACCATAAAGACAACCTGCCTACAGTGACCATATAGACAACCTGCCAATAGTGGCCATAAAGACAACCTTCCTACAGTGGCCATAAAGATAACCTGCCTACAGTGGCCATAAAGATAACCTGTCTACAGTGACCATAAAGACAACCTGCCTACAGTGACCATAAAGATAACCTGCCTACAGTGACCATATAGACAACCTGCCAATAGTGGCCATAAAGACAACCTTCCTACAGTGGCCATAAAGACAACCTTCCTACAGTGGCCATAAAGACAACCTTCCTACAGTGGCCATAAAGACAACCTTCCTACAGCGGCCATAAAGACAACCAGCCACCAGTGACCATAAAGACAACCTTTCTACAGTGGCCATAAAGATAACCTGTCTACAGTGACCATAAAGACAACCTGCCTACAGTGACCATAAAGACAACCTGTCTACAGTGACCATAAAGACAACCTGCCTACAGTGGCTATAAAGATAACCTGCCTACAGTGACCATAAAGACAACCTGTCTACAGTGACCATAAAGACAACCTGCCTACAGTGACCATAAACAACCTTTCTACAGTGACCACCTCTGGTCATGTGTTTACTTTACACTTTAAAGTGATCTGTATATAAATGACCAGTAATGGGTTTAGGGTTAAATGATCAAAATAATGGCAGATAGACTACACACTTGGTAATAGACATACAGTTGGCAATGACCTATATAAACAGCCATAATGTGTAAAATCACTGACCCAATCAAGAAGACACAAAAAAGTAGATACTTACATGTTATTAAAATTAACAGTTAACTTTCTATTGGATGATTCAAATTTCTTGGAAAGCACAGTTACAAATTCTGTTTTGAAAACAGACTCCAGTAAACTTGCATAATCATTGAGAACATTGACAACAAAGAGGTCATCTTGCTGGGTGCTAGAAGGAAATAGAGTATTCAGTAAACGAAGCCTAATGAACCAGACAAAATTTGAGTAAATTTTCAGTTTTTACTCAAAAAATTTGGCTATTTTTGTCCAAATCATCTGAAGGAAAGTGCAGACTATAAGGGAGATGATTTTGTGATGAAAAGGTTAATTGTACCAGATAGATAGATGACAAGACAGACACAATGTCTATCATCCACTGTGTGAACACTTTATGACATGAAACTAAGTTGATTCTTTGTAACTCAGGCATTCTTCAAAATAAACTCTACAATCTACAAGACACAGACTTGACATGTGTATAATTTAATGCAGAGATGCTCAGAATTGTGTTAATAAACATTTTATGAATACTTATTATAATTAAACTACACACCTCATTGTGATGGATTCCACTTTGTGAAGTTCAATTTTCCTTTTCACAACCTCTTTCATTAGGCCCTTCTCTGGTCCTTTCTTAACTATTTCCCTCCCAACTAAGTAGATGTATTTGTTAGTCAACAACAAGTCTCGCTTGGTAGTCTGCAAAAATAAAACAAAGAGAAAAAAATTAAAATGACAGATGATATAATATAAAATTTTCTATGAATAAGGCATGTAGTCCGCACAAAACACATACACATACTAAAAAAGAAGAAAATATATCTGAAATGGGTAAATCATGAACAATATCCATTTTTTTTTTACATGAAGAGATAAAGAAAGCATCATTGAAACCAGAAATATAGCATACCTTAAATCGTCTGTCATATTTAGTTACAGTATCAGCAAATTCTATCTTCTCCCTCCTAGCGACTAAAGCTCTCAATCCTGGATTATCATCGATACCAATGTAATCACCAGCAAAGTTACGATTCAAACTATAACGTCTACGTTCTTTCTTGTTTAACAGAATATCAGAGGCTGAACAAAAATTATAATAAAGGAATAAGATGTTGATGACTTTGCTAATGTATGTGGTGTAAGTTGGTCATAACAAAGCAAAATAGGTAAAACCAGAGGTACATTACTTGGGGTTTGCAACTATGGTGACATGATACCAAGATCCCATTACAATCTCGCTCTCACATAAGCGTTCCAACTCAGAAAAATGTGAATGCGCATGCCCGAGGTAACTAGGATACTAGGATGTCCAGGTGAACAAAATAGCTGCTCACGATATGACGGATTACGATAACTTTATTTTCTGTACATTTTCGATGTATAACATTTTTTCACTATGCATGCATGTTTTTTGTTTTATTACAAACCGCCTAGAACTATAGTTGAGTGATTTATGCAATAGAGTGTGGAATGGGAAAAGGTGGCCTTAGTTTGATATTATTCACCAAAAGATAATTTAAAGCATTTCTACCTTGTTGTTTGAGTCTGAGATAATATCTATTTGCATTGTGTTTTCTGAAAGCTTTCTGTATAATTCTTGCATATGTATCATATTTTCTTTCTCTGTGTTCTTCAAGTAAAAATAGCTGCAATAAATACACAGTAAAAGTATTAGATCACAGGACAGACAGACAAGACGGCTAAATGACAGAACCAGCATTATCTTAATAGAACCTAAATGTATAGTCTGTTGTGATAAAAAATCGCTGTAATAGCAGTAGAATTTTTATAAATCAAAGAAACATGAGGGAGAGCTCTTATGAGCAAAGGGGTACTGAACACAAGTACGAATAGAAAATATTCAAAATTAATAACATATTTAAGATGAGCTTTTCAAACACAGGCTTACACAGTTCAACTACACTTTGGAATGCACAATGCAAAATCAATCCCAGAGCAAACTAAGTTTAATTTAAATTAACAAGTTTAATTTAAATCTGATAGATAATAAAGTTTTCAGAATAATGATAATTTATGTAAATTCGGTAATTAATATGTATGGATTTGAATCCTAAGGTAATCAGGTCTGTGGATTATCAAATAGCACCTAAGTAGCAAGTTTTATTTAAATTTAATGATTTATACAAGAGTTATCTGCGGAACATGTATTGATAAACAAATTATGTATGTAGTGTGCCCCAGATTATTTACATTTCTTTCATTGTAAAATGAAGAGATATTTGTTTTTATTTTTATTTATAAAAATTGGCTAATGATTATGCAAATTAGATATTTAGTATTCATGAATTCCAAGAACTAACCAAGTCTGTAGATGACTCCAAAACTTTGGTTCTTGAAATATTTCTGGTGTAGCGGAAAACTATGAAGCTAATTATTATGCAAAAACCTAATCAGGTCTGTGCATTGTCCCAAAGCATCTATGTAGCAAGTATATTTGAAATCCTACAAGTGGTTCTTGAGATCATCTATACCACTCATGTACTTGTCAACATGTACAATTACCATGACAACATCTCATCAATCTCCTCAAAATATACATACATGATTCGTACACCTGAAATGTAATAAAATTCCAGTACTTTTTTATCCAGTTCTTTTTTTATCAACACAAGAATTATAGCAGCCTATGATGAGATTTTATTTTA